CGCTGGGAAAAGAGCTTTATTAGCCTGGCGTTCCGGGTTCCTGCAGGAACACATCATCAGCGACAACAGCTGATACGTGTGTCTCCAAGTCAGCTGAAAAATAAAACCATCTGGACATCGGCCCTAGCATGCGAGGTAAGCAGTAAGGATACCGTTGACGAAGAGGCACACCGTCCAGACATTAAGGATTTCGACACCGCACGCAAGCAAGTCTAAGTACATGTTAAACGCAGTAATAACATTTTATTGTACAACAGGTTCCAGCATGATCAAATTAGCAGCATGTGATCACAGATCTAAGAGATGCACCTTGGTGTGAAGCCCCCTGCAGAAAAGAACGTAGGCAGCTGTTTGGCTAGGCATGATGTTTTCGCAGCAAGTCAAAGGTTGTCTAGAGTAGGCTGCAGGATGTGGAGACCACGGCGGCTGTTTTGGATTCAGTGCAATGGAAACAAAACATATAGATTCCTCCACAGAAAACTGCGTTCTCGATGACTATTGAATTAAAAATGCTGAATCACCCGTATCACCCCATGAAACTCCTACGATTTATCGTGCGACTGCGTTGACGTCTATTCCTAGTCCAACCTAGGCGCATAAGTGGTCTCATTCGGCACGATATTCTCGCGTGAGTGAACGGAAATGTTTTGATCTCGTTGCACTGGTTGCAAAACAGGCAGCGTTTTTCCCTAATCCGGCAGCCTTAACAGGAGGAAATTTGACTTGTCACGAAAGCATCGTCTCTCGCCTAAGGCCACCTACATGCCTTTCGTCGGAAGACTTCAAACCGTGATGCATCTCTCAGATCCGTGATCACATGCTGCTGAACTGAGCACGCTACAGTTTGTTGTACAATAATACGATGTTATTGCGGAAAACTGCTATTAATATAGACCGATTTATTTATTCGAAAAAGGTGGAAAAAGGACGCAGACTCTCCTGCACTTTGTTATCTTCACTGTTACCTAGTACGCCGACCTTGGATTTTCATGTGATATTACCAATTCGTTCCAGATTGAATTTTACGAATTTATGAAGCAAGAAGCTACACACGCTCTTCTGGATAGAAGAGTTCACATCGAAATGCATTTATGAGACGGGTAATCCTACAAAATCATAATAGGTTTTAATCAGTACACTACAGGCCGCATAAAAAGCAAGTAAAAATAAGTTATAGAATTAATTTAGTACAAGTATACTTGCTTCGTAAGTGTTCTGTTTTTGCTTTCGGAATAAGCCGTCTGATTCGAAAAACGGTTATCGGCAGTACGAAAAACACCTTTTAAAACGTGAAATGAATACCATTTAACTAGATTCGGATGCGCATGAAACTGTCGTTCAAGAATGTGTAAGTGTGTGGGTCGGACAGTGCCGGACTGAACATCGTAATATATAAAGTATTCGAGATGGGCATCGTCAAGGCAGAATTCGTAAACCAGATGCGGTTATCCGCGCCCATG